AATCTCAGTTTTTGACTTTATATTTGATAAATTTTGACTAATACCAATGACAGTTAACTTTAAGGGGTCACGTCTTAGCCCAAGTTTGCGAAAAAACTCTTCAGTGATAAAATTCGACTGAGAACCTGGATCTAAAAGTGCCCTGCATACATGTTCCTTACCGTTACTATCATATACCTTAATTTGCGCGGTTGATAACAACGTTTGATATGTCTCGATATTGCAAGCATGATTTGAATGAGATATTTGTTCCACCTGCGGGTGGTTATCTACAACTATATCCCTATTGTTATGTGTCTCATGAGGAATTACATTGTTATGATTATTGATTTGACTATTACCTGAATTACTGTTTACAGAATTATTACTTATATTAGAATTATTGGGAAATTGAAGGTGCAACAAGGTATTATGTTTTTTGTTACAAATTTGGCATAGACGAGACGTACAATCTCGGGTTTTGTGATTTCTCTTTAAACAATTTAAGCAAAGGTGTAAACGTCTTGCTTGAGAGATCCTTTCTTGTACCGATAGTTTTAAAAACTCACTGCATTCAAACATAGCATGCGATGATTTACAAAGTGAACAAGATACTTTTATCGTGCTAACACAACCCTTAATGTTTGGTTTGTATGTTGGTTTACTGTTGTGGCTATTAACTAGATCAAATTGACCTTTATTGACCTCTACTGACGCTAGAAAATTACATCGTTTTTCTAGAAATTGAATGAATTCACTAAACTGCGGAAATTCACCTTCATGTTTAAATAATTCCCACTCGAATCGAGTTGTTTGGCTTAATTTGGCGCTTACAATGTAAATAAGTAATAAGTCTACAGTTGGCTGCTCGTAATTTTTTAATGATTGCATTATTTTCGATATATCATCTACAAAATGTTGCAGTGAAAGATGTGATTCTTTCTTTAAGAATTCTAAATTAAAGAGCGACTTAATATTATTTTGTATTATAAGTTTCTTATTTTCGAAACGTTTGCATAAGATATCCCATGCTATAGGGTAATTTTCTGACGAAATTTTTAATGACTTAATGGCTTGTGCCGCCTCTCCCTTTAGACATGAAATTAAATAGTAAAATTTCTGAATTTTACTCAAACTATTATTATCATGAATCAGCGAGCCAAACGCATCCCGAAACTCTACCCAATTCTCAAATTCTCCACTAAAACTAGGCAAAGATACACTAGGCAGCTGAATTAAACCGCCATCTATACCTAATTGTGATTGCGGATTCTTAGAGTCAAATGATGAAGATGGTTTATTTACGGTGTGCTTTTCTATAAGAATTTTAGCGCATGCTGTACATTCGTAATAAGTATTTTCAAAAGATTCTAAATCACCTTCATGAATTGGATCATCAGAAAGATTGATTATTTTCGCATGAATTTCTTCATACTCGTTTAAAATAGGTTCTATATTTGATAGACGCATTTTTAACTGTGCTATGGCCCTATCATCAATATCTGATTGCTGTTCTAATTCATGTACCTTGTTTTTAAAGCGAGTTATTCGAGATTTAAGAGTTGCCCTACGATTAATAAACTCTCGTAGTTCATTCGCTCTTACTTCTTCCTGACTCATGATTTTTAAATTGAATCAGTCTCAAGGAAAACACAAAAAAGGTATTAAAAGGGAGATAGGTAAAGGAAATTGCACTTACAGAACGTGTTTCTGAAGAATGTTCAAACTCGGTAGCTGGAGCTGCTGGAATTCCTGAATACGGCTCACAGTTTCGGCTTTCAATGAATCCTGGTGGATAGATGGGCTGGCTGTTTTGGCTTTCGAAAGGAGTCCCAATAGAAGGACCGGGCAGTTAAGCGACGCGTCCCACAACACTGAATATTACGTAATCAGAAATAATCCTTGTTCCTTGGATAATCTCCGAAATAACTACAAGTAGGACTGCACTCAATGTGGACGAATATAACTGGATTTTTTATGTTTTTTATCCGGCTCGAAGGACCAATGTTTTTTGTTGAGGTTCGATTAAAACAATATATCTTTTCTCAACGGGTGTACTGCTGTACCACATATATAAATACCTGATCGNCCTGTTATATGTCATATTCGTCGACTTTTGTGACCAGTACAAACAATCTTAAGAAGAAACCAATGAAGGAGTTAGATATGTAGTCATGTGGGAAGAAAGACAAAATAAAAAAAAGTCGCCCCTAACTTCTGTAAACTCACATTAACCAGCGGATATTTATGTCTCGCCCGCATATCATGTGTTCATTTTCAACATGAAACTAAAACCTCGTTTTTTTTGTGCTAATATATTTTGAGTAGATTATTGCTTAACTTTCTAATTAGGCCTTGTATATGTTCAACTTCGAGTAAAGCCATTAGTAAACCACGCATGTGCGCTGATAGCATTACTCATGTGTAGTGTTACTATTAGAGCATAGACAACTATTAGAGTTAATTCGAGCCTCGGCTAGATCGGTCCGCGTTAAGTAAGATGCGGGTGTAGATTAATTAATTTTGTGGATCAGTGTATCGGCGTAATGCAGAGTGGATTATCAAACTCAACGTAGTACTGGAGATAAAGGTAAAATTATTTTGTCTTATAATTAATCCTATTCTGTGATATTTTATACATATATGTATAGTTAAATGGATTGCCATTGTAGTGGTTTATTAGAGTTTTAATAAATATTAAATAGTGTTGAATGAATTTGTTGATAAATTGTAGGTACAGGTCTTATTCGTAGTGGGTTATGGTTTTTGAAAACAAGCACCACGCAAACTAAAAATTTTTGATTTTTGATTGCTGCAGCATGTAATTTTTGGAACTCGTTACAATGTTGTGAATAAAACACAAAGCGATATTAGGTTTTTATGTAAATTACATTGCACTTGTTTCGTCAAATAGGAATTCGTTCAACTGACGAAATACATAATATATTGAATGCTGGAAAGAAAAAATTTAATGTCTAACATATTATTCGGACACTATTGATGGTTAATTTTTTTGCTTCCTCCCATACATTTTACCTAATTAATTTCGGTATACATCAAAATAAATATAAGCCAAAAAAAGTCTCAAGCAGTACCTTGTACCATTCAAGGTTGTTAAAAGTCATCGCAATATTATTATTCATGTTAAACTGATAAACGCCAATGTGGTTGAGAAAAATTTTAATAAAAACCTGTGTTCTACAAGAAATTTTTAATTGGACATTATTTATTTTTTAGTAACTAATATAATATTTCATAACAACACATAAACTTATTCGTTATAAACATTATATTTATTAAAAATGAAAATGAAAAACAAACATTAAGTATACTCTTTTTTGTCCAACTGTTTCTGCATTACATTTTTTATCGTAGAATTAAAATTTTAAATAATTTGCTATAGTTTATTTGTTATTATTTTTGTGTATGTATACTTTATACTCCGCATTCAAATTTACAATACCAATAATTTTAGTCACTAACCCTTGTGTCCCTTTTAATTACCGGACCAATCGCCCAAAATTTTTATTCGTCAGATATCCCATTCTTTTCCCATATCCATGCCATATTTTTGTACAATTTTTCCAATATAATATTGCATATCTCCTAGCCTTCCCAGAAATTCCATCTAACTGAACCGCTTTTTTTCCTTTTATAATTTCCACCCTTCTACCTGTCTTCTTTCTACTAGTATCAAAAACTCTCCTACAACCATCTCTTCACTCACTTTTCAATATCTTTTTAAAATGTTTAATTTTTTCACTCACTTATGATTTGTTACTTTTCCTACGACTATTCATTATTTTCGATCACCCCTACGTGCTCCTCGTAATCTTTAAATCATTTATTATTTTGTAACTGTAGTCTTTTTTGCTTTTATTAATCTGCTTTATACTCAAATCTTTGTTTTTTTTATTCTCTCCTTCACATTCATTCCTTTCTTTTCTTCCAACAACCCTCCTTCTCCCATTTTTCACTTCAACTAGTCATCTGTATTTTCTTAACAATCATACATTTTGTCGTCATTGTTAAGGAACCTTATTTGTGATATGCCGACGCAGGGACTTTATGGCATAAACATTTTCATATTTTATTATATCTTTAGTGTAAAGCTTATTGTTATTGGACTTAAATATATTTCCGAATTCTACGGTCACGTAGGCAAATTCGCAGAAGCACAAATGAAGGTTTATCCCATGGTTAGTATATTGTGCATTGATGTTACCGTCAATAACCTCGTTATTGGGAGGGATAATTTGTCGATTTCGGAATCTAGTGTACAAAATTTTAAGTTTAATAGAGCAGTTCTTTTGTAGACTCGCTGAGAGTAACTGGACTTTAGTTATTTTCATAAAACATTAATAAAAATCAATATTTATAATAAATTAGAATAAGTCGTAGTTGTAAGTTGTACAATAAATTCGTTATAGGTATTTACAACTCGGCGTTTCTATGGTCCTTCGAGTTATATATGTGGTACAATTGTACAAAAAGTTCGAATCAATAATTTGAATATTTCGAACATAAAAATAAGAAAAGCGCCCGCGGCTAGTCGGCGAATCGATAAGCCGCTCACACACACGTATGCCCGATCGCACACAAACACGCTCGTGGTCGCTACAATATCATAGGTAGAAAAAGTTAGAAATGAAGAGGTGTTAGAAAGAATAGAAGAACAGGGGACGCTATAAAAGTCAGACGAGATAGGTTGGTAGGACGCTTTCTCAGGCATGAAGGGCTATTTCGAGACATTTAGAAGCAGAAACAGAAACAGGATCACATTACTGTTCACAAATAGTTAAGAGTGAGGGATGTTCTAGTTTTAAGGAAATGTAAAGATTAGCTCAGAACAGGAAAGAGTGGTGATGCATGTCCAACCAGTCTTACCACTGTCGATTCTATGACGTTGATGATTATGATTAAGGATTTTCCAAATGCACAAAAGAACAAACTTTAAATTGTTAAATATTTTACTATAACATACATAATTGTAACTGGTTGTCAAATATGTACATTTCTAAATGTTGAATTTTCTTTTCAGAAGACGTAAATCACACTTTTGGGCCACTTGACGGAAGTATTTACGCAACCATAGCAAAGAAACCGGAGCTGTCACCCGGTGCCGTTTCTAGTCCCTTGACTGTGTCCATGGACTCTGGTATTTCTTCTGCAGGTAATATTACACTTGTTATACATTTTTTATTATAACAAAGTTCATACTCAACCGGTTTGAAGGTAGTTTTATTACACTTTTTCAACTTACTCTCGGAACGGATGTAGAATAGTTGTTGTACTTACATAAGTCTAGGTAAATTTACTTTTTACGAATATTCTCTTTAAGTGTGCACTAAATGTTATTACCTACAAAATTATGCAATGTTTTGTTTTCGAGAAAAATAATTTTAAGTGCAAGGCTTTCGTCAAACTGGCATTAATCCAAACACTAGTGGTGCATTCGCATGTGTTTGAAAATAATTAATTGCGTACATATACAGAGGAGAAAAGTGTATTACGTTCAATTTATTTTTGAAATTATTTATTACTTTTGCTTGTAATGGAAATATGCGAGGTTGCATGCATTAAATGACTGAAGAAGAAAAAAAATTGATTCAATTCCTTGCCTACACAAATACCCTTTTAAAGGTATCCAAAAAAAAAAAATGCGTTTAGTTTGTATAAAACTAAACAATCAAATAAAAATAGGTTTTATCCAGAAACCTTGCATTCTTTCGTTCAGATTAAGAAAAGCAAACCGTTTAGGCATTCCACGTAAAATTATAAACAAAACTAATTAGGTGCGCTTGTGGGGGCAGGTCACCAGCAGAACGCCAACACGAACGCCTCAACGAGTCCCCCTCCGACTGCTCAACCGTCCCCCCTAACCCCCGAAGATCAGCATCGCGAATTGGACGAATTGCTATCGGATATGATGCTCACCGTTCAGAACATTCCCGACATCAAACCGCGACAACAGCAAAACTCGGATTGCGATTCCTCGTCGGCGACGACATTCAACCTCGACAATGTCCGATACATAGACGAAGAAGAAGACAAGAATATTCCATACCACGCTCGACAAGATAGTAAACCATTTACGTACGGCGTCAATTCAAACATGATCGGGGATTCGAAGAAATTATCCAGTCCTAGCCTGGTGCGAAAAGCGAGCTTTAATAAAAGCTCAGGAGATACATTGAAAAAAGTTCAGACGCAAGTATATCCGAACGCTACCTACAAGAGCAGCAACTATTCGAGCCCTTCCAGCAACTACAATTCTTCCACGTATAATTCTTCCATTTACAATACTTCAGACTATTCCGATATCGGTTCTAAATACAACTATTCTACATTACCACCCAAGAGAGATCCTATTGACAGTATCTTTACACCCAGTGCTTTAAGTGCGAGTGATCCTTATAAGAAAGAGTTTCGGGAAGAATTTTACAAGGACGAAGTTAAAAGATACGATCCGCTGAAGAGGAGTCACACCGATGGGACTATCAAGAGAAGCCTGGATAACTATTCGGATTACAGAAGTATTGGATCGCCTGTGTCGAGTCCATTGTCGGACGGGAATTTGTCGCCTCCTAGTGCCTTCAGGAGCTCACCAAAGCAGGAAGGGTGAGTCTATTAATCAAAAGCTCAATATCATAACTTCTCAGTTCGTAGGTACATATAGTGTGTTTTAAAAATTTTAAATGCAGGATTGTGTACCTTTTAGTGGTATGTTGTTTATTCTGGAATCTAAAAATGAAATATGAAACTTTATCGCAACTAATGTTGCTGATAGCTGTAAAACTAGAAATTTAAATTACCAGAATCACTTATTTTTTGTATAATAATTTATATCTTAATTAGTATATATGCCACCGAGAGAACGACCTTTTCGTATAGTACGATTTTCACTTCTAAAAAAGGCGTTGACTTGTTCTGCATATATTATAGTTAAATTAGGATTTGAATTATGCAAATGTTTTAACGGGTTATTACGCAAACAAAACGTCTACAGCATGTAAAAGTATTACTATAAGTATCCTTGAACTTGATTTTTTACATTGCGAGCGCCATATGTCCGCCGTTTCTCTTCAACTGCTGATATCGTCTCGCTCAGAGACTCGTTCAACTTTTTTCTTGACAAATCGTGTTATTTACGGCAACTACTAGTCGAAGATGACGATAAATGGACGTAATACGTCGAAGGT